AATCTTCTCTTTCCAGACCCGGGCAGAGGGTTTTCAACTGATTGGGATATTTCTAACATCAAGTCGAAATGCAGCATAAGTTGAATGATTTCAGTCTTTTTTTCGGCCATTTTGATTTGTTTTAGATATTCATCAAATACCTCCTCATTGAGCACTCCTCTTTTCAGATCGTCTTTCAGGAGATCAAAGTGACTGCCTCCAGGTTGACTGCTGGCATTGGTCATGATGGCAGAAAACACAACTGCTAACCAAAGTGGATCTATTATGACGACATGTTCCAGTCCATCAACTTTGAAGTGTAGGATATCGCCTTGATGGTGATGGTAAGGAATGAATTTTTCTTTTAATTCTTCATCAGGGAGTCCGACCCTTTTTGCCATTTCCCTCAGTTTTTCAATAGTTATGATGGGTGTTTCTTCACTCTTCTCTGCCAAATTCATTTCCAATTTAATCCAATTCACTGAAAGATGTTGAACCGTAGCAATACTGTTGCTGCTATAACCGCACAAATCTTCGATCGCTCTTTTTATTTCAGCGAACTCCCCATCATCTTCGGCCAAGTTGCTTATGGCAAAATATCGGTAGACGTGGTCCTTGAGTACCTGCTTGTCGTCGAGACACTTCTTGAGTTTATCAAAAATCTTTTCAACGTCGCCCTGTGAATAAAAACTAGTTAAGACATTTTTGTAGTTGTTGTTCATTACCATATAATAATGTTAAATTGTCAGTGCGAAAGAAAACATTTACCGGGGTGTGTGTGTGTGTGTATATGATATAGTCCACTTTGTTCAAGTTGAGAAATGGGGTATTTTGCAATGAACATATAAAATTAGGATGGAGTACAGGGGGCAAGGAACACCCTTTTCCCCCAACATTAAATCATGCCATCCACAAATAGTCACATAGTGAAAAGTTTCTAAATAATTAAGTCACTCGTCAGGAATCGTGATATGGTTGAAGGGATACAAATTATACACAGAATAAGTATGGTAGTAATTGAATAGTTGTTATAAGAAAAGCGTTTTCACCTGTGCGCATAACATGTCCTTATGAGTTCCAATAATCAAGACGTATGGCATGGCATTTTTGTCTTCTTCCCTCAATTTTCCAACAGTGTGCATATGGATTGAGTTTAACCAAAACATAATAAACTCTGAAAAATGTATATAAAGCCTTGAGGTAATTGCAAAGATGAATATTAATCAGTGTTTTCTCCTCAGCATTGCTAAAAAATAGCACCCATTAATATAATAATAATAATGTTTGTTATTGGGTGCCTTACAACGGATAATATAACTAAAATCCTTAAAATTACTACAATATTAAAATTAACACTACTAAAAACTCAATGTTATTATATATATATATATATATATATATATATATATATATATATATATATATATATATATATATAAGTCTAGTTCCAGAATTATGCAGACACTACCCGTAAAAGCAGTGTTAGGTAGACCATCGTGTATATAGGTATTACATGATCATTTATAATTGAAAAAATAACTTTATTATAACACTTAATGAATATTATGCACATGCTATGATTATAGAGGCACAGATATAAACAACAAAAAATATACAAAAAAATTGGTCTGCTTAAGTTTCTGTAAGGACAGAACCAGCATTAGGCAGACAAGCATTAGGCAGACCAGAAATATACATATATATATATGCATATTTTAGCAGCAGTAAGTGGACCACATGTACTTGTATAAATATATCAAAGACCAGCATTAGGCAGACTATATTAAAGTATACATTTGTTTGCTATTAATTATTGCATAATGTTGCCACTCACAGCAACCAACAGTTTAGCAGAGTAATCATGCAATCTTGCTATTATGTGTGATTTGGGAGACAATATGTTGTATACATTTGTGCTTTGATAATTAATGTGATTGTTTTAAAGAGCAATGTCTTCACAGCCAAAAAGCCAGGATAATTTTAGCAAATCAACACTTAGTTTTGAGCACAAACCACAATTTATTTGGCATACATGTAACTAAACAGCAATAAGCAGACCATTTACACTATATATATATATATAAAAAACCAGCATTAGGCAGACTTTATATCAAACTACATTTTAACTTATTTTTGCACTATGTTGCAACACAAAGTGCTTACCACTCAGAACAATCAACACTTTGGCACATTTTAATTATTCATGTTATCTATTTTTTGTCATTTGTGGGACAGTATATTGTATATTTTTACTTTACAATTTATGAGTATAATTTATGAGTGCTGTAACATATCATTCCTTTTCAAACAAAGAGCAAGGATAATTTCAGCAAAATAAAATTATGACCTAATCCCACACTTTATTTTAATGTTACCCGTTATTGGATTTTTTGTGTGACATGAAAAACAACTAACATAAACTATATGTAAGGTCTTAACATATTTATTGAGGTCACATCCTTGAACAGTCTGGATGAATAACATGCACCAATCTACATAAGCATAGTCTTAAGTGTAACTTGTCTGCCACTAAGCACATTACATCATTGAACAATCTTCAAGAAATGGAACTTCACTGTTACTTCAAACAGTTAAATGTGTGAAATATTACTTCCAATATTTTGGAGAGCAATCTCTGTGAAAAACTTAGTCAACTGTAAAATGAACTTGAAATGGAATGCATTGTTTCTCCAAGCAACAGTTAAGTATGTGAAATATTATCTCCAATATTTTGGAGAACAAACTTTGAGAAGAATTTCATCAACTGAAATATTGGAGGTAATATTTATATACTTTGCTGTTGTTTGAAGAAACATTGGTGTTCCATTTCAAGAACAGTCATCCTCCAACAGTTGCACTATATTCTTTGAAGTTTTTTATTAACATTTTCCCTCATTGTTTTTCTCTCATTGAATATCTTTATCCTGGTCTTTTTGTAGGCTTCTTGTAACTCCAAACTCTTGAGGCAGTGTGGCATGTGGCCCTCAAGAAATGTCATTATTTCTTTTTTACCTTCAAAGTAAATAAAAAATATATTAATATCATTAGCAAAGCCTCCATGAATCATAAAATTCAGTTTTGTTAGGCTGAATGATGTCATTGGTTGACCTCCTTACATCCCCGTTACAGTTTTGGAAAATAAGATGTTAGAAAAATTATGTGCAATTTACTATTTTAGTTTGTGGGCCTGGATTTTAAAAGTAAGTTATTTCCACTTAGATACAGATATTCATTTTCCTTAAGTACACAATGTTTTTTGTCCATCTGGTATTGTTTACACGACTTCTGCCAAAAGCAATACAAATTTTCACAAAAATTGCATTTTCGTGGCAACATAGTTTTAATTTTCTCCTCCAGTTTAAAGAAAAAAAAAAAAAAGAGTCATCTTTTCAATAACTATTAAAAAATGCCATTTTATATTTGTACATGAAACTCTACAGATATACAGTTTGGACAAAAATTGGATGATGCCTGTAGTTCTAAATGTACACAACTACAATGTAACAATGTAATGTACTAATTGGATATTCAATAAAAATGCACGTATGATTTCAAACGAAAAAAGTTGGCTGCACTCTGTTACAAGTTCACCTTGAACCATATTGTCCAATTCTTCTAGTCATTACAAAAAAAAAAAAAAAAAAACAGACTCTTATATCTAAGAGGTACTATGCATGAAAATGACAATATCTAGTCAATAAAATATGCTTACTTGGAAGGCTTCCTTTGTTATCCGCAGCCTCTAGGTGAGTACTTAATATGGCGTAAAATGGTCTCTCAACATATTTGTGTCTTCAGCAGGCCAGGCCACTGAAAGAACAAAAGCACATATATCTATAACATATTTGAATCCCCTATTTCAAAGTGATGGATACAATTTCCTTTTTCGATGACATTAGTTTTGCCTATAGGACTTTAGAAGCTTATAAAAAGAAATAGCTGTTCTGAATTTATATAGCTTACATTTCATTTTATAAAATAAAAGATAGCAATTGTTTACTTTTCTTATATGTTATTACCTGATACAGATTTCTTGCCCTCTACAATCAATGTAACAGGATTACATGTTAGATTTTATTCTGAAAAGAAAATATATGTACACATCTTTTATTGATTGAAGCTCTCTGCAAAGCAAATTAACCACATTCATGTACAAATATCCAAAATAACATTAATTTTATTTGGAGGTGGACCATGCACATGCTGTTATGTCTGAAATATTATACTTTATTTTTTATTTAATATAAACAATTTCTGCAAAACAATGTTAAAAACATAAAAGGGAATATATACTTTATTCAATTGATCAGTTTTCCAAATTCAGTGTAGTTGTAAAACTGTCACTGTGTTTTAACCACTAAAAATGTTTTGCAAATAATATGATTATTTGGTAAAGGTATGCATGTTATTACCTCACTGAAGTTCTTCATTTTTACCAATCTCTTTAGTTTCAGTTGCACTTGCCTCAACTGTTTGTATAGTGGTTAAATCCGTTGCTGGTTCTGGTACTGAGAACAAAAACAAATCAATGTTTACTCATTTTAGTGACTGCATCTTGTCCTTTACAGATCATGGATATCTAATGCATAGAAATATCTGTTTGGATTAAATGACACATATTTTCAAATACAAAAAAAAAAAATGTTTAAAATAGTCATGAAGAAATTAAGCTTATTTTAAGTAAACATGTAATTATGAAATGAACACAATTACCATTTTCAAGATCTCCCAACATGCGGCCCATTACTTTGACCTCCCTGAGTCCAATTGGACATTGGTAATTATCTCTGTTGATGTTTTTTTCGTGACCTATATGATCTAAAAAGACCTGCTGATCTGCTGGGCTCATGTCCAGACTAGTCCAGTGGCTTAGGGTAAAAAAATGGCCAAATCGTGACACGGTGGATAAAAGCACCAAATTTTGCATGTGGGTACCTTTTGACATACTAAATCAAATTAGAGCCGTAGCCCACGGAAAAAAGTTACCGTTTGGCCAAAAAATCCAAAATGGCCGCCAATTTGTGAAATTCTATAGAAATATAAACATACCTATGTTGATTTTTATCAAATAAATTATTTTCTCAGAGTTTTCCACACCCTTATTACCCATATTATGCATATATGTCAGATAACAAACGACTGTCCTTGGACTTTTTGAAAAATCCAAGATGGCCGCCGTATGGCATAGGAATACTAGAACAAGGGTTTTCAACTAATGCCAACTATAGGTTCCAAGATACATTGCCCACTATCTAATTTATTTTGTTTCTGAGTGCCTTATTACACAAATAATATATTTGTGGTGAGTAACTAACGTTTATTCTGAGGCATTTCGAGAAAATCCAAGATGGCCGCCATACCAATACTAGTATACACATAGGGCTTCTTCTGCCATGGAGATATAATATTAATTGATAAATTAGGTTTGTTTCTGAGTATTTTCCACATCTTTTTAATCCACATAATATATGTGATGAGAATGTTATATGTATCCTTTTTGAAAACAAAACAAAGCAAAATGGCTGCCATTAGCCATAGAAGGAGGGGTTCAGTTAATACCTGCGAGAGATAGGCTTCCATATAAAATGAAGCTGAATTCAGTTGTTATTCTGTCTTTTATTATTATTATTATTATTATTATTATTATTATTATTATCCCATGATACATATTTGTTAGGTAATTAATGTCCATATTTCATCATTTTGGGTAAATCCAAGATGGCCTTCTTTTCCCCGTAGGAAAACTGGTGCATTGGATTTTACANAAATTTAAAAAGATTGTGCTTGACAAAGGAAAGATGCCCAGTAAATTTATGTATGTTTATTATTAGAAACAAAATTCATTGCAGAGAACGGGCACTGTAATTCATATCCTCAGCATCCTTTATCAGCAAAATCTCCCAACCCGACAAGCCATGATATAGAACAAATACATAACAAAGTGTACTTAGTGACTACAGCGTGGTTGAGAGCTGATAATGAAGGTCACAAGACAAATTGTATGGGTCGTCAACTGACCCCGAAGCACCGTCTTATTACTAGACATTGCTTCACGTGAGTCACGAATGTATGTTGTACCTTATGTCAGAGATGGGACGTGCCATGCTGTGAAACTTAAATCTCCACTTTGTCTCTTTTCAGGTGAGAAACCATTCGTGTGCACGTGGGAAGGGTGTGATAAGAGATTTGCTCGTTCTGATGAACTTTCCCGCCACAAAAGAACGCATACCGGAGAGAAGAAATTCGCCTGCCCCGTTTGTGATAGAAAATTCATGCGCAGCGACCATTTGACGAAGCACATGAAGAGGCACGTTACAAATAAACACACGCCACAACAGCTCACGAGACCGCCTGTCGAGTCGTCCATGGACTGCAACAGCAATGACAGTCACATGTCGGATGTTTCTCAGTGCAGTACAGATAAACCAGCTCCGACGCCGATTTCCCTCAGTGTCTACGTACCTGTTGCATCACAAGGCTCTGCGTGAACAACCTCCTGATGGTTAGGCCGCTGAATCTAGAGGTTTATACACTTCTTTGACTGAAGATAAGGGTCCTAGTCACGAGGCAAATCAAAATAACCAGAGCGTCCTGCATGGTTTGGAGTTAGATCTTTCAAAAACAAGCACGTATTGATCATGTTGATCTGACGTAGGCCTGCTGTTGCTGATGCTTGTTTTTTTTTCATATTTATTACGTTGAACTGTAGTGAATCGGATCGAACCGAAAAACTGATTCCGTTTGTTTTAAGCGACTCGAATAAGAAGAGCGATTATCATAAAGTATATTTTGTTACATTGTCAATGGTGCTTGTTGTATTTTGATATAATCATTTGTAAATACACATCCTTACTTTTTGTAGTCTTTCAGTACTATAGCATCTTTACATTTAATTTATTATGAATTTGTACTATTTATTGTTTTGTACGTGATCAGTATAGAAAACCCAAAGTTTTAATAAAATTCTATTTAAAACAAAATAGTGACGGGAGTTGAATTTTCTTTCTAGCCATAAAATACCTCCGTTAAAACACGAGAAAGACATTTGACGTCTTGCTTCGTTGTCTTAATTAATAAAAAAAGTATTTGCTTGCCTGGCGTAATGAAAAAGGAAATGCATTTGGAGTTGAGAAACGCGTATTCTAATCAATGCACGTATAGTCCAGTGGCTTAGGGTAAAAAAATGGCCAAATCGTGACACGGCGGATAAAAGCACCAAATTTTGCATGTGGGTACCTTTTGACATACTGAATCAAATTAGAGCCGTAGCCCACGGAAAAAAGTTACCGTTTGGCCAAAAAATCCAAAATGGCCGCCAATTTGTGAAATTCTGTAGAAATATTTTCATACCTATGTTGATTTTTATCAAATAATTTAAAAGTATTTTCTCACTGTTTTCCACATCCTTATTACCCATATTATGTATATATGTCAGATAACAAACGACTGTCCTTGGACTTTTTGAAAAATCCAAGATGGCCGCCGTATGGCATAGGAATACTAGAACATGTACAAGGGTTTTCAACTAATGCCAACTATAGGAAGATACATTGCCCACTATCTAATTTATTTTGTTTCTGAGTGCCTTATTACACAAATAATATATTTGTGGTGAGTAACTAACGTTTATTCTCAGGCATTTCGAGAAAATCCAAGATGGCCGCCATATCAATACTAGTATACACATAGGGCTTCTTCTGCCATGGAGATATAATATTAATTGATAAATTAGGTTTGTTTCTGAGTATTTTCCACATCTTTTTAATCCACATAATATATGTGATGAGAATGTTATGTGTATCCTTTTTGAAAACAAAACAAAGCAAAATGGCTGCCATTAGCCATAGAAGGAGGGGTTCAGTTAATACCTGCGAGAGAAAGGCTTCCATATAAAATGAAGCTGAATTCAGTTGTTATTCTGTCTTTTATTATTATTATTATTATTATTATTATTATTATTATTATTATTATTATTATTATTATTATTATTATCATCCCATGATACATATTTGTTAGGTAATTAATGTCCATATTTCAACATTTTGGGTAAATCCAAGATGGCCTTCTTTTCCCCGTAGGAAAACTGGTGCATTGGATTTTATAGGCACTTCTTAGGCAAATGAGGGTAATCATGATATTTTGCCAAAATACTAAAGGGTACACACTTGTTACCCACCAGATAGATATCTCAAAGTCCAAAAAGAATGTGGGAAATACCGAGAAACAATATTCATTTTATATTGAACCCAAAGTAGTTGACTGTACTAATCCTATTGTGAATTGCAGCAATCTTGAATTTTCTCAAATACGCAAGATGCACACTTGCTACACACCAGATTTATATAGAGTAAGGTTAATAAGGATGTCAACATGTTTGAACATCAAACGGCTTTATTTCATGTTGGAATCATTGTCTGAACTGTTCCATTAATTGACACCTACTGTATGTGCATTTAAATGATATATTCCTATGACAACTGGCAGCTATCTTGGGTTTTCTTCGAAAAGTACTCAAGGATACATACACTTTCTACACACACAGAGTCTTTCATAAGGATAAATAGGATATGAAAAACATTTAAAAACGATCTAAAGTTAACTACATTTAAATTGTACTCAGTGTATCTCTGGCATTATTTGATTATGTGTACGAATATTCTAATGACAAAAGGCAGACATCTTGAAATTTTTTCAGAATACCCAAACATACACACATGCTACAGACCAGGTATACATCATAGGGGTAATAATAAATGGAATGAAAAAAATATATTATTTTTAAAACAAACTTATGGTAATGTAATTGTATAGTGAACCATATGCCTCTCTAGCAGCAATTGAAACCCACCCATTAGCATTCCTATGTCAAATTGAACCCATCTTGGATTTTCTCAAAATATCCAAGGATGCACACTATTTACCTACCAGATATATATATATATATATATATATATATATATATATATATATATATATATATATATATATATAATAGGACTAATAAGGATGGACAAAACTTGATGAGCAAACACAATTTCACCCTGGTAGTAGATGAAAAGCCATGGATGTGCAGTTGTTATTCCAGTAGTATTCCTATGCATGGCCAATGACGGCCATCTTGGATTTTCTCAAAATGATCAAATATGCACATTTATTACCTGCTAGATATGATCACAGTGTAAAAATAATGTTTAAAACACTGAAAAAATAAACTGAATTTGATAGTGAATTATGTTTTTCCTAGCTGGCATTAGTTCCAACCCTTATAATACTAGAAGTATTCCAATGACATATGGCGGCCATCTTGGATTTTTCTCAAAATGCCCAAGAATACATGTTAGTTACTCACCACATACATATTGTGTGGGCGGAAAGGATGTGGAAAACACTCAGAAACAAACTTAATTTGATAGTGGAAAATTATCTTTTCAGTTGCCATTAGTTGAATGCCCCATATACTAGAATTCTTGTGGCATATGGCAGCCATCTTGGATTTTCAAAAATGCCCAAGAACACTTCATAGTTACTTACCTCAAACATATTATGTGGGTAACAAAAATCTGAGAAAAAGACTTAATTTGATAGTGGACAACGTATCTTTCTAGCTGGTATTAGTTGTGCACTAGTATTCCTATGGCTGTTTCTATGGCATATGACAGCCATCTTGGATTTTTTCAAAAAATCCAAGGGAACTTGTTTGCTATCTGACATTTATGAATAAAATGGGTAATAAGGGTGTGGAAAACTCAGAGAAAATAATTTATTTGATAAAAATCAACATAGGTATGTACATATTTCTATAGAATTCCATAAATTGGTGGCCATTTTGGATTTTTTTGACCAAACGGTAAACTGTTTGAGAGGGCTACGGCTCTAATTTGATTTAGAATGTCAAAAGGTAACTACATGCCAAATTTGGTGCTTTTATCCGCCGTGTCACGATTTTTTCCTTAAGCCACCGGACTAGTACGAACTCAACGCCCAATGAAATAGAGCCTCAGAACCTTTGCCACATCTACTGTTATCTGTTAAGAGGGAAGGAAAGTCCGTCGCGTGATTCGAAGAATTTATACAGGGTGGTTAACACAGTTCACACTTATTTATAGGGAAAGTGAAGCCAGACACGAAGCTTATCGTGGCTAATATGGATGCACACCTCTTCATCTACTGTTTTTATCCTACAGCGACTAGGATGACTAATAAGCTTGAACAGCATGACCGCATTCTGGCCCGTGAAACGATATCGTCTCGTTTTTAATTAGAATATCATGCACACAGGTTTGTATGGATGTGCCACAAACAGTACCAGGAATGTATTAATTTGTGAAATCATTTGGCTAATGTCGGTTTAAGAGTGGGATGTACAAACGTGTTAATACAAAATTTCAGAGTAATGGGACAGAACCTCTTTTCATATATTTTTAATAATTGTGGACATTTTTAGCTGAGACTGGCTGTCTATTTATGTAATTCTCTGTTTAATGTTACATATAATGGAATATGAAAACCAGCGGCCAAGTTTGGACATTTGTCCGCTAATATTAGTGTAATATGATATATCACTATGTTATATAAAAGCTCTTTGCCATTTGAGTCTCAACCGAACTATATTTTACATCGGCCTTGTGACGTTTACTTTCATTCCATACTGAAAGGCCTAGAGGGCTTATTTGAATAGCGTTAGTACCAACCTATTTCGTAACCCTTTACAAAACACATAAATATTTGAGAGGAAATAAATTGTAAAATGGCTTGAACATGAAACTGTATCCCCATTATTTTTATGCTTTGTTCATAGATTCGACCTCTTCATGAAACTCAAGTGTCGACATTTAAAAATTATCTCATTCTTTTCATCCATGGGTATGGATTAGTCCTAGTCTTAGTGCGTTTTTGTTTATTTATTACATAACTAAGGATAGATATAGGCACTAAAACAACTATATAATCAATGGTGATAATTTTAGACACCGGACAACTTTAGTGTGATCTAGGATAGATAACCTATATTTCGGGTCCTAGGTGTGATGCATGGACAGTTGTTCTACCACATTTCGTGCGTTAGATGATCCCCGTTTCTCATTGCTTCTCCGTCGCAGCTACAACACTTTTTCTGTTTCTTATTACAAGGAGAAAATGGCAACAAGTGTGGGTTGGAACAAGGGACACACACCTCCTTAGTTTACCCGCTACCAAGGCCACTGTTTGATTTTTTTCTAGATACAACTGCATGTCTCTGGCTGATTCATGGCATGCTTTCTACTGTAATAGAGAATTTAAGCATGGAATTAATCTCATCACTCTGGTCTCTAGTATTGAGTACCCTTGGTTGTGGTAATACATTTATAATTCCAAATTGCACATAAGTCATTAATTATAATAACATATGGTCTCATTTTGTTTCCATGTGGAAATATTTCCAAATTATGCCTTGGACTGTGGGGTAATAATAAACATTTTACAGGAATGGGATGGAATTTCAAAGTCTGTGACAAGTTTGGTGTCCCCGATCGCTTTGAATTCAAATTTCTCCCACACCTCTTTGACCACATAATGTTTATCTTGTTCTGTATTTACGTACTCTTCAAGATTAAATGAAAATCCGTGATCCACGACATCCCTGTTTACTATTAGAACCACTACCCTGTTTTTGCTAAGTGGCCCACTGTAGACTTGAAGGTCAGCGACTCCACCGACCTTCAAACATTTGTCGTTAAACGTCTTTAAATTATAGATCACATAAGAGGATGTGTTCGATGCAGATTTTTCAAAATAAATCTTTTCTTTATATGTCGGTTTCTTGGGGCACTTTTTCACGGTTGCTTGTCCATACATTTCCCAACTTTTAAGTTCAAGACAATAAGTTTTTCCACTTGCAATATTGAAATATATTTTGTTTCTTTCTTCATCGACTGTCCACGCCTGGTGGAGATCTGAACGGCCGCACTTCTCTACCGTGACCAACTTACTTGTTACATTCGCTGTTAGACACAAGTCAAGTTTCACATGTTTGAGCCACCTTTTTTCCTTGCTGTAACTCCACTGCTGGTTTGTATCATTCCTCGTACATCTTAAATCAGAAACGGCTAAGTGTTCAGCGTGTCCGAGTTTTTCTTCTCTCACCAATGAAACGGGTTTACCCAGTGGGTCTTGGTTTATGTTTATAACTTCTGGGTTCGTAAGAATATTTTTCACGCTGTCTTTCATCATTTTCGGGTCATTACCAAGAATTAGAGGCGACTTCAATGCGCTCCATAAGGAAAAGTGGACCTTATATTCTTCCGTTGTCATCCCTCCATTCCCAACTTCAAGCATATCTAAGTCGTGCCAGAGTCCCGAATGATCGTACAAGTTTTTGCTAAAAGCCCAGTCAACTAAGGACATCATATTGATCCAGTTGTCTTTTATATCATAATTAACGCGGCGCATATTCGAAAACCCAGAAGCAAGTTCCAAATTTTCAGCAGATCCTTTCACACTGTGGATCATCTGACGACCCGTGTTTTTGATCGCAGCGTACATGGTTTGGTAACTTTTTTCAATATTTTCACCTGGATGGATGTAGCAGTCATCATTTTTCACAAAATCAACTTTCCAGTCTGCATATGTCTGTGCATCAATTTCCTATAAGAGAGGATAAAGTAATATTATGCCACCTTTATGGACCGATTAGTTTCACATATCAATTTCATTGTGGATCTATTGATAGTTTTTAGGTTTCACGCTGATGAACTTTGCGAAATTGCTGTTTACTAAGTCCTAACAATGTGTAAGGGGAGGGTGCCAATATTTTCTCAAGTCCTGCTTTTTTTATGAAAGCCTGCCGGCCCATATAATAACTAAANTGGATCATTTCTTTAATAAATTATGTAAGGCTTCATTAAAATCAACTATTCCCTCTACTTTTTATTATCCCATACAGAAGTGTAACTTTACCTTGCATGCATATATAATGATAATATAATGATAATATTATCAGAGACCAAAAAATGTTAGGTATTTACAAATTACAGGACAATGCATCATTTTCTTCTCACAAACTGCAGTGGGAGACAAAATGCATATACCATACAGCCTTAAAACTATTAGCAAAATGAAAATTTGCAGATCTGCTTACCTTATGTACTTTTGTAAGGACGGAAATTGATCTACAACACTGCTACTGCCATCACCTTAATAAATAAATAAATACATATATAAATGACTGAATAAACATAAATCCCACTTGTGTAAAGTAATTACGAAAATAAAGATGCACTTGATATACATGTACCTTTGCGTATGTATACCCACTGTCACCTAGCAAACTCACTGTTATCCTCATGTAACCTCATGTAAAGCATTTTACAGCCAGAATCTTTTAGGGAATTTATAATAGGCTTACCATAACTGTTTTCTACAATCTCCTCAGGCTCTTTTGTTTTCTGAAAGTAAAGCACACCTAATCAAGCAAAAGGCTTGTAGTTACAAGATGTTCCAAACAACAATTCATGCTTAATGTACAATAAATCCCTCGAGTACCAAGCTTTTAACAGATTCAGTTGCTTATGTTTTCTTTTGGATAGTTTACATATATTATATTAAAAAAGCGATATCTTTAAAGTATTCCGATTTCATGTATCCATTACCTTGATTCTTTTGTCAACAGGTTCTTCATCAGAATCAAAGAGATAAGGATCATACTCTGAAAGAAAATTACCTTATCAGTGTACTGAACTAAGCATTGCTTCTCACCATGTACAAATGCATACTGTTACAAAAATTAGTAGTAGGTGTTAAAATGGGGTGTGTGGGGAGTGATGATGTGTCTCAAGCCCCCCCCCCCCCCACAAGCCCCTGGCTTCAGTAAAAGTAAGAAAAAAAAAACTTACCACTGTCACTCCCATCATCACAATATATATATGCTTCATTTCTATCTATCATATATAAGCAAAACATTCAAGGAGAAACAGACTGAGACAGCATGCTTTATCCTATACATCCCTGCATACTTCATGCAGTTCAATAGGAACACTATTTCACTATATTATTGGAAAATATAAATAATCCCTTTGACTTTAATATGATATCTATATTTTTAAAACTATACAATAATCTTCCATAATAAAAAGTCATTAAGATACAATTGATAAATATAACATTATAAATTAATGCTAACCTGCACCCTGTGCATAGCAAGTCTTAACTGAAAGGAAATCCAATACTGTATGTAAGAATCATCTTAGTCCAGTATTCTGGGCAAACAGAGACCCCCCCCCCTCCCACCCTACGCTACAATTAATCTCTGCCTCATATGGGAAATTAAATTTCTGAGTCATTTGAAACAGGTTATATAAAAGATTATTTATGCATAGGCTATTGGCTTAAAAGATGAATATTAAAGAAGGAATAAATTAAAGTTATAACTATTATCCTGAAACAAACTGTGTTAGAGACTACATCAGTGCTGGATGAAGATCAGAAATCTAATACACATGATAAATTTGAAGGTGGGAGTATATACTAGTATTTTGAGAACCTAATACAGAGGATGCTAAAGTAGAAGTTCCAATGGCCAGTAATATATGCTTTGGCTTTCAATACATCATATTTTGCTTCATTCTGTACACTGTATCCAGTAGGTCTTTTTACTGAATTAAAATTGGTTGAAAAAATTAGAGTGGCAATCCTTAAGTGTTGGAAATTCTGGGCACTCTCAAAACAAAGTCTCAAAATTTGTTTAAGGATAATAAATAAATAATAAAAATGTATATAAAGCTGACAAACCCCACCATATTCTGTTTAACTTAGCCACAAAATAAGCTAAAGATCTGTAAATTTGCATAAATTGCATTTGCTTATATAACCATCATGACCAAATTAAAAAAAAAAAAAACGCGTGAAATGGCAATAAAACTTAGGGTGCTTTCCCAGAGCTTTAGATCGATCTAAAGATTAAGTTTTAGATCGATCTAACTCCCTGGGGTTTCACGCTAAATTGCAGTCAGCCGAGCGGGCACCATAGTTAATTACCCCCTTAAAGCTTTTAGTAGGCGGGACAGACGCTTAAGCCGACCAAGCTGACAGTAATCTAGTGAGACTCCCCACAGGGATAGATCGATCTAAAAATCTATGGAAATGGGGTGCAAGTTACATATGTGCATCAAGGATTATTATAATTTCATATCTTATACTACGATTTTTTCCCGGAAGTCGATCATTAACACGCAGTAAATCTCCTCACAACATTCTCTAATTATAAAGATACGATGAAAACGTGAACTTACCAACTGTTTTCCTCTCAGAAGTGACATATCTTGTGCAGCACAGTCACGTACCGGTAGCCATGCCATCTAATGCATTGCGCGCCAGTGACCTATATCATAAAGGTCAAGGTCATTGCTGACTTTCTCTCTCAGAAGGAGAAAAAGGTGGCATGTCAAATATCGATCTTGTAAAAAATCCGCGTTGTAAGAAACTGATTGTGCGAAGGGAAAGCTATGTGGCTAAATAACACAGATGCAAAGAGATAATTTCGATATATAGCGTATCTTGAAAATTATCGTCGATTTTCCAACGGTCTGCCGTAGCGTGTCTCATAAGTTTTTGATATACATCGTAAATATACACGGTTGTAAAAATACATTTGATTTATTTTTAAATGGGCTTCGCAAACAATATATAATCAATGTAAACAATAACATCGGTGTACCCTTTAGTAACTGACAGCAGATTACTTTTTCAATCTGCTTTTATCTACATTTTTGAAGGGGGGAAAATGTTAGGCAGACCAAGGAGTTATAACAGAAGGAGATTACACGCGTGGGGGCGGAGCCCGTATTACGGTCTCTCATTGGTCGGAATGAATAGAACCCAGAGAACAATGGATGCCTATCTCTGTTACGCTTAATTGCTACTCTCGTTTAAATCTCGTTTGTTAGTATCTGTGCCTTCGTCTGTTGATTTTTGAGGACAGAAACAGAAACGGAGTCCCAAGTTTCTAAAAAATGAGAGAAATACAGAATTTATATGATATTACGTTGGACAAGGTTTTCAAAAAACAGGTAAGTGCTTTTAAATGCATAACTACACGAAATATGAAGATAAATTGCAACTTTTATGTCGTAGGGTCTCACTGTGTAAGTGTCCAGCTACACGTTGATCTCGCGAGGTGGTGTGTGGAGAATAAATATTGCACGAAAAATATTTCCCACTCATAACAAGTGCCTATAAATATAGTATCAGATGAAGAAAGTTTGGTCTTTATACAGTTGCAATTGTTAAGTAATTTGTGGCAATAGCAAAGAATAAAACTTAGGTGCACTTTCAGTAGCCGAATAACAAGCAGATGCTTAAG